TAATGATTATTTTCATTACTGATTAATCAGTTGATCATTTCCCTGATTAACTGATTAGCTAAAATGTCCGAAAATTGTGAAAAATCAGTGTCTGTCCTTAAATGTCTTGTTTTGTCCACAACCCAAAGATATTCAGCTTACTGTCATAGAGGACTAAAGAAACCAGAAAATATTCACATTGGAGAAGCTGAAATCAGAGAATTTGGCATTTTTGTCTTAAAAAATTGCTTAAAATGATGAATTGATTATCAGAATACTTGGCGATTGACAACTAATCGACTGATCAACTAGACGTTGCAGGTCTAGTGTCTTGCTGATCTTACAAATCTGGATCAGTTGCACCATAGATTGGACAAAATAATACTATTAAATGATGATTCAACAAAATCAGAAGGTGAGAGATGAACTCCTTCCTCAGCAGAGTTTTAGTGGTTTAGTGTTTGCTACCACACATTCCCCCTTGTTAGGGTTTCTGTGGTATACGGATACGCCCTGTCAGAATTGAACAGCTGCCAACAAAGCTATCAACAGGACTGTTTGGGGGGGTGGGGGGGGGTATGGGACTGTGGTTATGGAGTGTGAATAAAGCTGACAAAGCACATCTCATCTTTTTAGATAAATACATTTTACACCATGACGTGAGGAAGTGATGCTGGTTTGAGTTTGGCAAAATAATGACAGCAAAACTTTTGGGATTACACACTTAATCACTAAATATAAATCAAAGAATATTCATATTAATTACACACACTTGTACTAATCTAAAACTAGCTCCACAATTATTTTATGATCAAGAAAATGTTCTGAGAAAAAAAAAAAAAAAAAAGTTCTGAGAAGAGTGCACAGCTGTAGCTAAATAAGTATGCACAGATGAAACATCATGTATGTGTATACAGAGATTAATGCCTCACCACAAATGACTGGGCATGCATGCCATCAAGATCAAATCATGGGAAACCTCTGTGGAGTGTGGAAAGGCCTCTGCAAATTCATATCACTTTAAATATTTCTCAGGGAAGAGGGCTACTGAAATGGGAATACGGTTTAGCCCGTGCGGAAATGAATACACAGATTTAGGAAGTAGGATTTAAAGGCTTTTAGTGACACTGGACTCACATGAAAGGTACGTTTAACGCCCGGGGCCAGGTTCTCTGTCTTGATCTTCCAGATCAGTGGTTGGGGGGAGTTAAGCACGAAGACCAGTGGCTTCTGGTGGCGCAACAAAGACTGGATGGGCTTCAGATGCAGCTCAACCTGGTAAGGCGAAACAAAAAAAGAAGGGATTAAGTCACATGAAAGAACAACACACTGGTAAACACAGAATTTACTACAAGATCACTCTCAGTACATCACATGATCCCATTTCACACAGCTGCACTGTGAAAATGTCATGCTTTGATTTTCTCATGTTCACTGAAATATAACCAAAAATATCAGGCGATACAGTTATCATCCTGGTGTAATTGCAGTGCTATAATGTTGTAGATTGCTCTCCTTTATCTGGCTTTGTGGTTGTTTACGTACTCCCTTTGCTGATAAACTCACAAAGACGGCATGCTGTGTTCTCCCTAAAAGGCACTTGCTTAGCTCTGATATGTAGCCTCAGCGGGATCTGAACTTTCACACAGTGGAGTCTTTGTTAACAGAAAAAAAAAAAAAAGCAGTAAGTGGCGGGCCTCTGTTACCATCTCTACAGCATGCAACTATGCCTTTGCTTCTCACTGCCGTTAAAATAGATTTTCACAGTCTGCTAGTGAGACGGGGAAAACAAACTTGATGTTTTGGGAGCTAAGCTGTTGTTTTCTTGTTTCCAGTGCTAGACCTGTCTAGACCCTTTGGACCAAGTCTAGTCAGGTGGTTCATGGCCTGAGCACGCCGTGAACTCATAACAGTCAAGGGCCTGGCTTTCTATCATCCTCTTTACAGATAAGCATAACTTTTAAATATTGCCATAACCAGAGCTTACTCAAGAGTTGAAAAACTTTCAACGGTTCTCTCTAGCTTTGATGAGAATGATACTCTAGAGGGTATGGCAGTCTGTCTAACACTCTTCTTTCCTCCCATCTGTATTCCCAGACTAATCATATTAGCCCCATCCGGTGTGTCAGCAGTAAAAGCCTGTAAATTACTAATTCAACCCACAAGGATTCACACAATATGATATAACGAGCCCAAAAGTAACCTAATAAGTCACGGCTCGCAAAAATATTGGCCCTTCTCTTTTCTCAGTAAATACAGCCTTTGTGCTTCCACTGAAGCTAATAATGGAACAAACGATCTGTGCTTACAATGACGGAGACTGTAAAACTGAGTTGACAGTTTATTATTAGTGAGTGTTCGAATGAGTTAGAACCGTGAAAAACTGCAGAGAACATTCAAACCAATAATTTGTTTGGATGTGGTTATGGCGTTTATATTATCAAGATGAAGATCTACATCGTTAATGGAAGCCATTACCATTCTTTCTGCTACACTCATAGGCTCTGTATTTCAGTCACTACAAATCAGTTCCAATCAACTATACTGTGATCGTTTATCTAATAGTTAGACTGCTATGGGTTCTGACCCAGACTAAATGCTGAACAGAGTAAAATCTTTCATCGATTTAATATTTCACACATTTCTTCATGCTACACTGAGATTTGCATACGCAGTGCAAACCTGCTCTATCATGAATTATTGACAATATCTTAACAAGAAGAAAGAGTTGAGTATTTGGCAACTATTGAGTTTGTTGCAGTTAATTAATGTTAAGTTGACCAATGAAATTCCTGACTGTAGTTTTACATCTGTCTGGTGGGTATGCTCTTTGCCTGTTAGAGTCTGGACTGTTTACACCAAAGATAGCAGAGAAAGAAACTCCACTCTGTATTAATATAATGTTTGAAAAGATAAAGACAAGAGTCAACTTGGGCCCGCAATAAAACAATAGCAATATATATCGGCAACAGACTCAACAGCAATAAGGGAACAGTTCAGTAGAATATCTAGTTTCACTTAAATGCATTAAATGTAAACCACTATAAAAACACCCTGGCTCCCGGACAGCCCATCTATTCCCGTGATAATGGACAGTGATGTGACTGAATCACTATAGCTACAATGAGTATGTCATCAGTCACAAGCTACATCTCAAGAATTGATCCACAGGCAGTCCATAACACTGAGTACCTGTGTTCCTTGGTAGATAACATGGCGTGAGTAAATTCAAAGTTAGCTGGTTAAATTCAACCTTTATTTAGAATAGATCATAAAAAAGGCAGCCCAGCCCTAAGTTAACTGTATTTTTGCCCCAACAGGTTGAAGCTCATTTGTGTAAATTACTAACAGCTCATAGATAGTGAGCAATATTCTGAATCTTCCAGTTAAACTTTTTAATTATATCTTCTCATTTTTTGAGCTTATAACATCAAAATATCTGTCCTCCAGGACTGGTGCGGTGCTTATCCTGTCTGTGGAGCTCAAGCAGCTACAGTACTGTAAGCACAGAGCTGTAAACAGTACTATTAAGGGTCATCAGATATAAACATTTTTAGTAATGTTGGTGAGCTTTAGTGATGCTAGTAGGTGGATTTCACCTTTGGACAAAGTCAGGCTAGGTTTTTCCCTCTGTTTTCAGTCTTAATTGTGGCTCTAGCTTCATATAAATCACCTAACTCTCAGCAAGAAAGCAGCATGTAAAACTTTCCCTTTACAGTGCTCAGAAACAAATAAATGCATTTTCACATCTACAGTTTCACCACAACTGAGAAAACTCCATTTGGCCAAGTAGATCACAAATTCAGGCCTGCAGTTTAAATTATAGACACTATCACAATTCAAATTTCCATATGGGTCAGAAAAATCACAAAAAAGGCAAGATGTGAATATTGCACTATATATCACTCTCACACACTCTCAATATGCTTCACCAAACAAACTGCATGCCAAACTCCTGTCTCCCTCAGAGGAGATCTTTTCTTTTCAGCAAAGTGTGATTTTAATCTTCTGGCAGACGCTTCGTTCAAAGACTTGTCACTGGGATGCCGCATGAAGCCATTTAACGAGAGACACCGACAGCATAGACAGAGTGAACATGAAGCATCAAAGCCTAATTATCAGTCCTCCACAGATGTAAGCCCCGGAGGAGAGCAGCACAAACCAGTGTTTAGTGATGTGGTCCATGAAAGTGCTGCAAAAATCATTAAAAAGTCCCTCAGAGAGAAGACGATGGAAGAAATGACTGAGCAGCTATCTATGAGGCAAACTGGATGGTGATCCAAACAAACAGATCAGAGACTTAGAAACTCACTGCACTCTTTTTCTTTTTTTCTTTTTTTGCATATTTGTTTCTTCCTTCGTCCAGACTCCAGGAAAAAGCGTGTGCATCGGTCCTCTGAGAATAAAAACAACCAAGATATAATCATACCTGGCTTGGCTTTGAGGCCCTGGCTTTGAGAGATGGAAGAGAGGGAGACAGACGAAGAATGAGAGCGAGGGAGAGAGTTGTAAAAGATGAGGAAATTAAACCCAGACAGAAACATTTCCAGAAGACGTGAGTCACCTGAAAGCATAAACATAAACAGAGTGGTGCGGAGAGGAAGTGCCAAGCGGCGCTGACGGTGAAAAAGGGAAAACTGTGGTAATTATCTGCTCTTCAGTAAGGTTTAGTGAGTAAACAGTGATAACACCGAGCTCAGTGCTGACCAGAGCTGGGTTGCGCAATGTAAGCGATGATCACAATTCAACAGCAGCTGGTGTGCATCTCTGCCCACAGAGTTGCCGTCATAAGGTTTGGTAAGACTGGTGCGCATAGCAACAGACCTTGTCACGCAGCCAGGGTGTGGAGAGAAGAGGTGCAGGAACACCAGGCATCAAAGTGCCTCGAGTGGTGTTTGCAAGGATCAGGTGGCGCTGAGTTGTCCCTGGTGTCGCTACCTTCATTGGACCCTGCAGAGGGGGTCTGTCGGGGACGGGAGGCCACGCCTGATTGATTATCAGGAGGCTGGCACAGGGATTTGGGGGTCCAGTGTCCATTACAGTTATGGGGCGCATTTGCCAGCAGCCACGGATGGAGACCTATCGTGTTACTGTAATTACACCCCACACAAGGGACGACAGCTGTAGCAGGGTATGCAAGGCCTGTCACAGCATACCATTAGCGATGGTAGCATGTGTAAACAATGGAAATGTAAAAAAAAAATAAAATAACAACAACACAGCCTCAACTTTAAGCTCTAAATCAGCTCCAACAACAGGCATAGCGCCAACTGGAACAAAAACCCGAATGATGAATCACACACAAGCCACATGGTTAGTTTTAGAACCTACTGATGCCTGTGACACTGTAATTTTAAATGGTGATTTGTTTGTCCCGTCTTCAGCATGTGGTTGCAATTTCATGACCTTTCATGCTAACTAAATCACACACACAATTCCAACGTGATACTTTCATAGACAAACACCGAGACCCTGCAGTCAGAGCTCAGCATCAGGGCGGCTCAGTGTCCTTGCAGTTTCCTTTATTGACAGAGCTAATTAAGTGCCTGGTGATCCCTGTTGATTCAGAGAAAACCCCAAACATCCTTTAATTAGCCGAAACGTTAGACTTATCTAAGAACACACTCTCCCTCCCAGGAAATAATAATCAAAATCAATGCCATGAAACTGAGACATGCTGAACGGTGTCTGAATAACAATGACTGGCTGGTATTGTTTTAAACAGGAATCAGTATGGGTTAAAACAGATCAATATCCAAGGTTATAAAAAAACTTTGGAACATTGCAAAAGCTGAAAACAAAAGAGGCCTGGCGAGGAACTGAACAGTCGTGCCTCCAAGCGGAGAAAGGCACACAGCCTGGGACCAATCATACTGCGTTATCTGATGTGCATGTATGTGCGTGTGTCTTGTCTGTCTGGATCTTGGTTCTTTCTGGATCACTGAGGGTGTACAGAGGGAAGGAGAGCCGGGGCAAGGGAGCCAAGTAATGGAGGGGAGGCGGACCAAAACCTGTTGACCGCTCTTATCAGTGCCACCCACATGAGTACGGTGGGGATGCTACCTGGAGCCTGTGCCCTGAACTGTGATGCTAATCAGTCAGGCCTGAGCAGCCTGAAAAGACGTCAAAATCAGACGGGACCTCTGGATAGCAATCTTTCAGTGATATGGCAGAATGGCAGGACATGCTGAGGAAAATGGGAGGGGGGTCAGGAGGAAGGACCAAGATTACACTGATTAGATTAGAGCCTAACTGAAATTAAAAGAAAGCAAAGA